CGGGGAGCGGGGGGCAGGAGGCCGCCCGCCGCCGTCGCCGCCGCCCCCGGCCGCCGCGGCTCCGGCTCTGGGAGGAGGGGCCGGGGGGCGCAGCTCGGCGGGGCCCCCCGCCAGGTGCCGGCGGCGGCGGCGGCTGGGCGGGGTCGGGGGCCCCGGGGGAGGAGGCCCGGCGGCCCCTCCTCTCAGAGCCGGAGCGGCGGCGGCCGGGGGCGGCGGCGACGGCGGCGAGCGGCCTCCTGCTCCCCGCTCACGGGGAGGCTCCTTCCCACCGCCCGTCCCCAGCGGCGGACGGTGCGCGGCGGTGGCGGCGGCGGCTGCTCCTCGTCGTCGTCGTCGTCGTCGCCCCGGAGGCGGCCGCCCCCATCTCCCCCCGCGCCGCAGGGTCTGTCACTGCGGGGCGCTCCCCACGGGGGTCAGCCCGGCCATGCCGGCCCGCGCCGGGCGCCGCCGCCGCCTCCGCCTCCGGCTCGTCGGGCGCGGGGGGCTGCGGTCAGCACAGAAGCCGAACCCGAGCCCGAGCCGGGGTCGTCGTGGCCGCCGCCCTCGCCGCCTCTAGCGCCTTCCCGGCGGACGGTCGCCTCCGATGTCTCGGGCTCTCAAGGGTCCCTCCGCGCCGGCCGCCGCCGAAAGAATTCCCCTTCCCTCAGGGCCGAGGTGGAGGAACACTCAACGGGCGCAACAGCCTCCAGCGAAAGATGGAGCGGAAGGATCTCGCTCGACCGGGACTTCCCTTCCTCCCCGCTCCCCCCTCCTCACTTTGCTCCGCTGCCCCTTTTTTCTCGCGCTCCTTCGCTCGCTATCGCGGACGGATACCGGCGAACGGGAGGCGACGACGGCGGCCGCCGCGGAAGGATAACGACGAAGTCTCTTTCTCTCTCCCGCTCCCTTACGAGCAGCGGGAACGAGGCAGAATTGGGGGGGGGGGTTGGCTTCATCTCGCGACAGCCTAAGCACCGGGTTTCCGAGCTCGGCCCCCTCCACCCCCTCTCTTCCACTGATTGGTTCACACAGCTCCCTTCTTTGCCCGATTGTTCTGCTTCTCCAACCGTCCGGCTCCTTCAACGGCCACTCCTCCCTCGAGGAGCTGTCAATCATTTTCCGAGCGTCCCCGCCCGGCTACAGTAGTGATATTTGATTGGCCGGCGGAGAGAGGGGCGGACTAGGCTCCAGGGTGGGTTTCTCGGCGCTCGGCTCACTGCTCAATGCAGTCTGCGATTCCGTTTTGCATTGTTCTCTGGGGAAAGCAAAGGACTCGGAGTTCATTGGGTTTTTTTTTCTTTGTTTGCATCGTAATCATGGAGTGCCCTTCCTTACCCCCCGGATGTCCCCGAAGACCCAAGCATCAGTCTAGTCAACAAGCATTTATTAAGCGCCTGCTGTGTGCCAGGCTATGTGCTATGCGCTGGGGATACAAAGAAAGACAAAACACGGTCCCAGCCCTCGAGGAAGGAGCACGTGTGTCTTGAGATGTTTTTTGCAAGGCAGAGACGTTTTGCAATGAATCATCCACGTGCCCTGGCTTTAGTCCCTTTGAGGCCAGTGGTATGACATTTGCTAGGCAGCAGGCCAGGGTGAGGGGTGCCTTGTGACAGACTTTCTCTGTGTAATAGTAATAATAGCTGACATTGATTCAACAAACATGTTTTAAGCGTCAGCTCAGCACTGGGGGGAGCGGAGAGGGGGATCAAATGATGCATGATCTACAGGCCCTCTTCCTAAGGAGCCGAGACTCTAACTGGGGGAAAGACGGGGACCCAAAGAACTGTACTTTAAGGGAAAGTGAGAAAAATGCAAAGGGAGAAGTCTAGGCAATCCGCTGGTGGTTTCAGTCTGCCCCATTAGAAAGTGAGCTCCCAGAGGCAGAAACTTTCTGCGTTACTTTGTATCCCAAAGCCCGGCGCTTAGGAAGCACTTACTTGTTGACTAGGAGGCATCCATTTAGAGAGAAATCACTTTCACCTGATACAGTGGGGAATTAGGAAGATTTTCATGGAAGAAACTGGATGTGCTTGGCCTGAAAGGAAGAAGGGGACTTAAAAATAGATAGAGCTACTGGTGGGGAGTCTATAGCAAGCCGTGAGGATGAAACCTCGGAGACAGGAGAACACAGATGAGAAAACAGATGATGACAGGAAGAACCGTCATTCAGGGACTATTTATTTAGCGCCTACTGTATTCCAGGCACTGTGCAAAGCCATGGGGATACAAAGAAAGGCAAAAGACGGGCACTTCTCAAGGAGTTCACGTTTTGATGGGAGAGACAACATGCTGACAATTATGTACAAACAAGGTACCCACAAAGTATGTTGGAAATAACCGAGGGAAGGCGCTAGCAAGTAGTTCCGTTTGCCTGGAACATATGAAAGGGAGTGTAGTGTGAGGCTGGAAAGGTAGGCTGGAAGCCGGATTTTGGAAGATCATGCATGCCAAGCTAAGGAGTTTATTCATTGTCCAGTGGGGAGTGAGGAGCCCTTTAAGGTTTTTAGCATAAGAATGAGATATTCAGAGAAGATAATCAATATTATTAAGTCCAACTCTTCTGCACGTGCACTTTATCCTACCTCCCTTTATCTTCCGTATATTATATCTTCAATCACCAATCCCCCTCTTCAGCTTCAACCTATTCTTTGTACAGGTTTGTTCCCCACCTCCTTAAAAAAAGCTCATATTTCCTTCATCCTTAAACACACACACACACACTAAATAGCATTCCATCTCCTTAACCCACTGTTCTATATCTCTCCTCCCTCCCTTCCTCATCCAAAGTCCTAAAAAAAAAAAAAGCTGCCTATATCTGATGTCTTCACTTCTGCTCCTCAACTCTTTCTATTCTGACTTCCAAACTCATCATTCAGCTAACTTTGTCCAGTTACTAACAGTCTCTTAATTGCAAAATCTGATAACCTTTTCTCAGTTCTTATCCTTCTGTTCCAAACAGCTATACAATTTCCCACCCTCTCTTCTCTTGAATATTCTCTCTTTTGGGTTTTTCTGACAATATTTTCTTCTGGATCATGTCCTTCCTGTCTTTTAAGTCCTACTCAATGTCCTTTGCTGGCTCATCCATAACAGGACCAATAATTGTGAGTATTCCCTAAGGTTCTGTCCTAGACCGGCCTCTCTTCTCTTCTCTTCTCTCCTTTCTTCTCCTCTCCTCTCCTCTTTTCTTTTTTCTTTGAATCCTGGTACTGTTACCTAGTACTTATATGAATTGGGACAACCACTTCTGCTTTCTGCTTTCTGGGCCTCAGTTTCCTCATTTGTTTGAACTAACAGTGGATTTGAATTTCTAATACCCCCTCCAGCTCTAAATCCTGGAATCCTGTGACCTATATACCCAGTTCACAACCTTCTACACTCTCTCATAGGAGACCTTCTTTCTTATTTCCCAACTCTCTACATCCCGTCCCTTCTTAGGAATGGTTTTAAGAAACTCCTGGATTAAAGATGGAGAAGAAGGAAAAATGGGTCTGGAGTTGGGAAGGATGTTTTGGACGAGCTGAACTCTAAGCTCTCTCTCTCTCTCTCTCTCTCTCTCTCTCTCTCTCTCTCTCTTTCTCTCTCTCTCCTCTCTCCTTCTCTTCCTCTCCAAGTCTATGTATGTTTCCCTTTACCTCTGTCTCTTTGTGTCTCCCTTTCTCTCTGTGTGTCTCTGTCTCTGTCTCTATTTTTCTCTCTCTGTCTCTGCCTCTGTCTCTCTCTTTCTGTCTCTGTCTCTGTCTCTCTCTCTCTCCCCCATATTTCCTCTTCAAATGAAAATGTAAAAGGTGATATCCATCTTCCAAGAGGTAGAGAGATTATTTCTCACACCTCTGCATTGACATCTGCTCCTGTGCATCGATTCCTTCCCTAGAGGAGATCTCTGCCCTGGAATATTTTGGAGTAGAGTCATGAAAACAGAATGAGGAACAGGGTCTTATTTGCCCATCCACCTCCAAACAAGGTTTCCTTTACTTTGGGGACACATCCCATTGGACCAGCAGGTATCCATCATCTAAGAATGTTGGGAAAGTCATTCAAGTTCTCGAAGCAAAATGTTATTTACTATTTCAGCACATACATACCGTACAGTTCTGTGGTTTGCCTGCTGCCCCCAGAAGAGGGAAGAGGGCATCCCAAAATCAAAACAACTAGGAAATGCCAAAATTTCGAAAAGATTGAGAAAGCTGGGAAAGCTGTGCTAGTGAAATACAATGTTGACAAACAGACAGTCTTGGAGATGAGCCAATGGGGATGAACCTGTGAGACTGTGGGAAAATAAAAACCAGAGAAGGAAAGAAACCATCAGAAGAAGGAGAACAGAGACTTATTTGTCATCCTGGGTTTCCTGATTTTCCCTCTGGGGACATCATCAGCTAAGTGGAATTTCCCTTTCCCTGGCTTTGCCTCAAAGGTTGGTATTGAGCAATGC